ATCATATGGTGAAAAACTGACTTTGAAAAATAAATCTGTTCTTTTTTTCTTATAAAAGTTAAATAAAACAAAAATATTGGTGGCAATTTTTAACTGCGTAACTTTATAACGGCACCTCATATTAAAGGTTTGACTGATAAAAAAACACCCATCTGGAGGAGGAGGAGGAAGAGGAGGAGGAGGAGGAGGAGGTTCTGAGGTCTGATGAGTCCAAACATGGAGGACATGACAGACAGATCTGTAGGAACACCGTCCCCTCACTGAAGCATGGCGGTGGCAGCTTCATGATGCGGGACCAGGAAATGGGTCTATCTGAGACCAGACCCTGAATCTCCACTGGTTTCAGAAGAACCAGGTCCTGGACAGGTCCAGACCTGAGTCCAGCTGCAGAGACCTGGTCCAACCTGCTGAAGGGGGTCTGTAGACTTTAGGAACAGAATAGCTCTTCTCACTCAGGTTTTCTGTTTCATTTTCTGTTTATTTCAAAATAAAATACATTTTCTAAATGATTAAACGTTCCAAACATCTGAGACAACTTTTATTTTGTCAGTCCGATGAGTCTTTAACTCAGTTTTAATAAATCAGTTGTAAAGTTTTTGTTTACTTCCGGTCCACCAGCTGATGGAGTCTGACCATGGATGACGAGGTCGATCCTGCTGACGGAACCGTGACCTCCATCCTGGCCCAGGAGTCCTCCGAGCTGCTGGAGATCCTCTGCGCTCAGTCGGAGTCCGTCCTCATGGCTCTCTGGGGGACGACGCCCCCCGAAGCGGGACAGACGCCCCCCGAAGCGGGACGGGACCACGTCCGAGCCATGCTGGAGTACTTCAGTCACAGCAGTGCTGCAGAGTGCTGCAGCTTCCTGCAGAGAGTCTGCATGATGTGTGAGGACATGCCCATGCTCCTGGAGTCCAGACTCATGTCTGTGGCAGGAAACCCACTCAGTGAGTACAAAATAAGAGCTTTCAAATTAAAACTACAGCAGGAAACCCACTCAGTGAGTACAAAATAAGAGCTTTCAAATTAAAACTACAGCAGGAAACCCACTCAGTGAGTACAAAATAAGAGCTTTCAAATTAAAACTACAGCAGGAAACCCACTCAGTGAGTACAAAATAAGAGCTTTCAAATTAAAACTACAGCAGGAAACCCACTCAGTGAGTACAAAATAAGAGCTTTCAAATTAAAACTACAGCAGGAAACCCACTCAGTGAGTACAAAATAAGAGCTTTCAAATTAAAACTACAGCAGGAAACCCACTCAGTGAGTACAAAATAAGAGCTTTCAAATTAAAACTACAGCAGGAAACCCACTCAGTGAGTACAAAATAAGAGCTTTCAAATTAAAACTACAGCAGGAAACCCACTCAGTGAGTACAAAAGAAAAGCTTTCAAATTAAAACTGCAGCAGGAAACCCACTCAGTGAG